CAACTACAAATTTCCATTGACATGATTCAGTTCATGCAATTTTGTTGAAGTGTGAAGTTCAATAATATGTAGAGAAATCATTGAAAACCGTTTTTTGCATTTATTTCAGTAAGAATTCTGCAATTGGATTATTCACTCTCAATTTCTATGAGGAGACAGTTGATTCAGCCTTTGGCCTCATCAACTATCACTTCATAGAAATCTCGAGCTCATTAATAACTTAATTGATAATTAGTTGTTAAAGGAGGCATACACTTAAGGGAAATGTCCCCTCGGAACTGTCCTTAGCACATACATGGCTGTACTACAGGATAGGGCAGTTTCCTGGCCCAAAGTATTACAGTGTAGCTCACTAGTGTCTTGTTACACCGATAAGATCAAGGGTAGAGCCAGCACTCACACAAAGGTAGCGCATCCTGTTTTGTGAGTCATTAAGTGACAGCGAGTATCTCACCTACCCCTGGATAGTTTTATATGCTATCAGAGTTAATCCCCCCTCCTCTGCCCCTCTCCGACAGCAGTTTGTCAGTAAGCCCAACAGATCTTGTTTATGCTCCTGGTCAGAGAGGGGAAAAGTGAGGGTAAAGTGCCTTACTGAGCAACACAACACAATAACCCAGGAAGCACTAAGTCCAGCTCAAACAAGAGTCCAACAAATTAACTGATCAGCCAACACAAAATTGTTGTTTGTTTGTTTCTGTTTTGCCATTTTTGTTTTTGTTTTTGTTTTTGTATTTTGGACAAATGTGGATGTCTTGGAGCAGGCTTTGGTCTAGTTCAATTGTGGGCATCTTTTTCTAAGCTGTTGTATTGGTTTATGGCACCAGAAGTTTGATCTTCACTGTCTGTGATTTCAACAAATGTTTTTTCTCCAGTCCTCTACCTTGTTCTTCCCTCAGATCATGAATTCCCATGGTGGTATTATCCTGCAGTAATGTATTGGCAAGCTTTTCCTTCAATTAAAAAAAAAAACAACAACAACAAAAAACACCTTCCCCATCTGAAATCCTTTAGCTGCAACTCCTGATCCTTAAACTGCAACTCACAAGCTTTGAAAACTTTTTCTTCCACTTTCAATTTCCGCAATAAAGTAGCTTGGTCCTTAATGTCCTTGTTTGGGCATTGTTTCATCCTTCTTTCAATTCCCCATTTCTCTTGATGGAAAGCATTAGTTTTATGGGTTATTTCTCCTGTCTTCATGTCCTTTATGTACAGTAGATTGATCTTTTTGGGTGATCAATGGGTCTTTCCTCAAATATAGTCCCTGGCCTCGGGTTATCCTACATTTTTCTTTCAATCAGTTGGGTAGCTTCCCATTCATGCTAGTTCTGATCAAGTGCAACTCTTCTTTGTTCTTTGTCTGCTCCATTAAGTGTGGTCATTGGCTGGGGCAACAATAGTAAGCTCTAGTATGTCAGAGTAACTCTTCAGGTATATATATGTATTAACCTTTCTTCACAATGATGCAACCCTTTTTCTAATGGTTCTTAGAGTCATAACCAAGTACT